CCTCTCCTTTCATCCGTTTCTCTTCCCTTTCCCGACCTAGAGTTGTATCTCTTTCCTGCTTAACTCCTTGTTCTTCTGTTGCTCCACAGAACCCCAGTCTGAGTCATTTTGGTCATTTGTCTTCTCCAGTCCTCCCTAGAGGCCGCAGAGTGCTGATGCAAGGACGCTCCCGTCCCGTCCTCTGCCTTAGGGACTGGAATCACTCACTACCCATCTAGGTCTCCAGGCTCTGCTGAGCCTCAGGGCTGCAGGACCTCCTCGGTGGCACCAGACAGTCTCTCTGTCTCTGACCCCACATGAGCTTTCCATCCCTCTCTTCGCCCATCTGCTTTGCCACTTCTCCCCCAACTTTACAGCAAATAATCTTGCCTTCTTCAGTGAGAACATAGAAGTTTCCAGATGGGAACTTCCTCAGGTTTTTGTAAGCCTTGTGAATAATGTTTACACGTCGTATTTTGAAATAAACTTCCCTGGATACCACATCTCCCTACTTCCTTTTACCACCAAATAGGTAGGGCCTGGTCTCCACTCCCTGCCTCTGGCACCCAACAGCCCGCCAGCGTGATTCAGCCCCACCAGGTACCACTCTTGCCGCGGCCACACACTGCCTCTGTGTGGCTCTGTCTGCAAGCCCTGCTCTGCCCCTGTACTGCCTGACACCTTGGCTGCGTGGAAGATGTTGCCTCTCATCCCTAAGGTCTGTGACATTGCTCTCTCCTGATGTTCTTTGTACCTTTCTGGCTTTTTCTGAGTTTCTTCAAGTGTTCCCCCTTCTTCAGCTGACTTTGTCAGAGGCGATGTTTTGTTTCCTTTTGTTTAATTAGGCTATGTTATTTCAAGACCACAATATGTGCACTTGGGTGCTTCCTGCTACTGAGTTGGTTAGTGTTCATGTGTTTTAATGGATGGGACTAGGCTATGTATGTGTGTATGCCTCCTGAGTTCATGGTGATGTTCTCAATTCAATATAGTGCTGTACAGTTTTCACTTAACTTCTTTTATGTTATGTCTTTACTTCTTCTGTATAATCCTGTCTTTCTTCCACACAAGGACCCCTGATTAAATAGGCTTTATCGTTCTCTACGCATTTACCTGTCTCAGAATAACAATTGTATGTCCCACCATCATCAATTCTGATTATTGAAAACAGTTTAAAAAATTGTTTTGCCTCTGCCATCTCTATTTTCTCTGTATTTTTTTTTATAGTTGTATTCTAGGCAGACTGTCAAAACATTGAGCCATTACATACTGTCTCTCACCCCTTATTTAATCTTAGTTCTGGGACACCTGGGTGGCTCAGTCGGTTAAGCATCTGACTCTTGATCACAGCTCAGGTCTTGATGTCAGGGTGGTGAGTTGGAGCCTCGTGTTGGGCTCCATGAGCAGCGTGGAACCTGCTTTAAAAAGAAAAAAAAAAAAAGATGTTCTATGAGTCCCTGCTGATGCTCACCTCCAGGCCTTATGTCAGTTTCTCCTGGTCATTTTATCTGTCTAAAACTTGTTCTCTTGTAAGTTCTCCAAGAAGGACTCATAGGAACAATATTCTCTAAATCTTGCCCATTTTTAATAGTTCCTCTGTGTTCTTTACTCTGAAAGGTCAGTTTCACTTGATATAAAAACTCCTGGATTCCCAGTTTCTTTCCTTGAATACCTTAAATACATTACCCCCTTTCTCTTTGGTCATAAAGCATTGTTGTCACAGTCGGATAATAATTTTCTTTTCTTTATATGTCAGGTGCTTTGTTTGCATAGGTGTCCAAACGATTTTTTAAAATATATATGGTATTTCATTAGAATGTGCTTTGGTGTTGGTCCTTCTGGGTTAATATCCTTAGCTATTTGGTGTGGGTTTTTCATTTCAAGAAAAGTTTTTTGAGTATATATTTTCTTTTACTTTGGTTTTCTTTTTTCCCCTCAAGACTCCTACGTATCTGTCTGTTGGTTCTTCTTTGACTGCCTTTTGTATTTGTCACCTTCTCTCAGACCCTTTACATCATCTTCATTTCTTTTTGACTTTTAAGTCTAACTTCCTTTTCAATTTCTGTTTCTTTAAGGCATTATTTATCATGTTTTAATATCCCAGTGTTCCTATTTGCTTAGCCTTCGCTGAGAAAATGACTTTTTCTTTTATCTCTATCTCTAGTTTTTTTTTAACGTGGTTCTTTCATGTCTTACCATTTCCTGAGCATCTTTTAATTCTTTTTGAAGTAGTTTCTTATAGATTTGATCCTTTAAAAAAATGAAAAATGTCTTTCTGATGTGAATTTTCTGTAGAGACATCATTTTGCTCCTTGTTCTCTTTATCTTCTGGTAGCCTTGTAGGGGATTTGATCTCTGTGTTTTATGTTGCCCATTTTGATATGCACTTCATTTTCCTGAACTTTTGGAAGGAACTTTGTTCAGACAACTTTTTTTTTTTTTTTTAACTTCACAGAGCTTCCTCTTCTGTTTTGGTTTGTTTTTTAATGTGATGTTAAAATGTACGATGGCTTACGTTCAGATATTCCCTGGCTTTTGCTCTTTCCCCACTTTTATCTGGACTTTTTCTTTTCTTCATCTTGTTATCCTTACCCAACTCAATTGTATTATCTTTTTAAGTTTATTTATTTTGAAAGAGAGAGAGAGAGAAAGGGAGACCCCCGCCCTGCATGAGTGGGAGAGGGGCAGAGAGAGAATCCCAAGCACCCTCTGTACTGTCCCCACAGAGCCCGAACTCACGAACCATGAGATCATGCCCTGAGCCAAAATCAAGAGTCAGATGCTTAACTGACTGAGCCACCCAGGTGGCCCCATTTTACCTCACTCAGTTTTAATTCCACCCCCCGCAGCTTCTTTTTATGTGGGCCTGTGTCCAGGAGGAGCCCCAGGAGGTCAGACTGGTGAGTCCACCGGGGCTGGGCTTGGGTCAGGTGCTGCTGGAGTACACCTGTTGACTGTCCTGAGCTTCTGCAGCTCTCAGCTCCACCAGATGCCCTGTTGCTCGAGCGCTATGGCTGGGGGCGATTTGTCTCCCCACTTATGCATATTTTGTGATCCTGGCAATGCTGTGTCCCTTAGTTTTGTTGTAAATGCTGTTCTTAAATCCTAAAGAACCTAGGTTTTGCTGCTGCTTTGTTCTGTCAGTCTTTTGGGTCTGTTTTCTTCTCTTTTGCTCCCTCTTGAGTTGCCCATGCCAGAAACTAGGAAGCCATCCTCAGCTCTGCCTTTCGCTCGCGTTCACATTTTGGTTCCCTTCTTCATCCTTAGCGTTTCTCAAATCTGCACACTTGGCCTGTCTTCGTTGCCAGAGATTAAGCCAGACCAAATTCTCCGAGCTTCTCTGCTGGGGCTACAGAGTCTCAGAGCCTGATTTCTCTGCTTCCCATCTAGCCGTTTTCCACACCAAAGGTAGAATGATCTTTCTAAAATGCAAATTTGATCATGACCCTTCTGGCCTGAAACCTTTCCATGATGTCCAGTAGCTGCTGGGTAAGCTGAAACCACTTCTCACAAACCACAAGTTGACCCTTCCTCCTCCTTCAGATTCTTCTCTCTTCTCTTCCTCCTGCAATTCATTCTGCATCCTGTTGTGAGAAAGCACTTGCAGTCACTTCCCAAAGATGCCTTATACTCTTACTTCTAGAGCTTAGTTGCCCACACTGTTCTTATTTTTGCCTCCTTGTTGGAAAGTGAAATTGAGAAATGGTTGTACCATTGTTTTTTGACCAAAAAACTCAACAATTTATATTTTTAAAAGAAATGGAATTTCAGCAGAATTTGTTATACAGTATTTCCTAGTGGTCTTGAAATCTTTTTTTTCCCCCCTCACTTTCAATAGAAAAAATTCCTGGACTGCTATACTTAGAGTATATTCCAGTTCTTTTTCATTAAATAATGAACTTGAGTTTATTAAATATAAATATATAATTGTAAATGTGGATAAACATTAAGTAAACACAATTATTTTAAGTGCTTTTGAAATAAAACAACATATATTTGGTTTCATATTAAAATGGTTTTTCCCTCTACAATTTTCAGCTCTATCAAAATCCAAATAGCTGCCCTTTATAATAAGACATCTAATAAAAACTGAGAAATCTTAAGTGATTCACCTCACATCACCCTGCCAAGAAAGCATGACAGGTTCATTATCCAAACACATCTCGGGTGGAATTACAAATGAGAATTTTGCAGGGAAATCAGTAGGGAACACTTTGATCTTAATAGAAGAACGATTCTGTATCGTATTAATTGGGACATGAGGTTGTGTGGCGTATGTCATCCTGTATGGAGCAGCCCTCCTGTAGCTTTTTGGTTCAGGTTTGCACTAAGGAGGGAGGGACCCAAGGGAAAGGAGAGATTAAAAAAAAAAAAATCTGCTCCGCATCCACTGCCTTCACCACCTCCTTGTCACCGGTACCACACACACACCCTTGCACGAAGAACTCACAGACCCCGACTGTATCCTCAGGAGTTATAACCCCGGGGGACTCAATTGAATCTTCCCTGTATGGATAGCAAGGACAGAGATTTCCACTGGAAAGGGACAGCGAAAATTAAACGAGAAAGCCAGAAGTTCACTTAAAAAGGAAAAAGAAACTGACCTTTTTTTTTAAATGGGCAGGAAAATAATTTGAAAGGCATGATATGAAATATTAGCCTGAAGTTAAAAAGACCTCCACCACTCAGGTGGATTAAAGAATAATGATCTTGAAATGAAGAAAAGGTACCAGACGGGAAGAGAAACACTTGGAGTGTCAATATGAACGAAGGGGACTCCCAAGGCCTCTGGTACAATGCGTGACATGACGCACAGATCCTTCTTGAAGGGAATGCTGATGGTCAGCCGTGAAATTACAGCCGAAGCGTCTCCGTGAAGGGTTTGTACCTGGTGGAAAAGGGTGGCCAGTACACAGCGTGCTTTTACATGTGGCTCTGATGTCAGTACCAGAATCCGAATTTTCCTGGGAGACCCTGTCCTGCAGCTCTCATCATGCTGCTTTAATTGTCCCTTCACTTAGGAGTACGAGACCCAGTCTAGTGCAGAAGCCAGATTTGTGAAGCAGCTGGACCAGTGTGAGATGATTCTTCAGGCATCCGAGTATGAAGAGCTTGAGAACACCCCGGGGAGGCTGCAGGACTTCTATGATTCCACGGCAGGTACTCGGTGCTCTTTTCAGTAGACACCAGTTTAGTGTGGCTTCCCCCTCGTGTCGTGACTGACATCAGATTAGTGAAAACTGCTGTTGTTACCTTCTGACACTTTCATATGGGGCCCGTAAAAGGAGCTAGTGGGATTCATGGGCAGAGGCGGCCTGTTGCAGATGAGCATTGCTGCGGAGGGTCTGAGCACCAAGTCAGGTTCACGTCCACACCTGCCTATGTGCTGCAGGCAGCCTCCTGGCTTCTCTGTGTCCTCTCAGAAAAATGGAAAGCACAGAAGTGACCCAACTTGAGTCATAGGTGGGTTTGGAAATTCAAGAGAGAATATATGTGAAAGTACATTATAATCTGAAATGCTTTATAAAAGTAAAGTCCTATAAGATGAAGGTAGGAAAAGAGATGTAAAAATAGGAAACCGCAGACAGCTGAAGTCACCAGTGTCATTATAGTGTCCATAGCAGAAGCCTGGGAGCTTAAGCTGTTCTGGTTCTGCCACATACAGTCCATGGAACTTCCAGCAAATTATTCACCCTCCCTTTGGGCCTTTTTAAAAATAAGGGTAATAGGACTTTGCAGGAAATCCTGGACAAACCGCAAGGATGTGCTACTCAACTCTGAGCATGCCTTTCTACTTCTGTGTGTCAACGTGGATGACCATTGCCATCTCTTCTCTTTCTCCCCACCACTGCGCCACTACAGTCAAAGACCTCAGGGCTTGGTAGGGTGTTTTTAGATTATGAGTTTGGTGTAGTAAGCTTTGTTAATGTTGCCAAAAGTTCCCTCATTGTAATTTCCTCTCATGCTCATTCTCTTTCCCTCTCAGATCTTTCATTTGCTATGGACCCAAATGATCAGGAGCAACTGACAAACCTGACCAAGGTCTTGGGCAGTTTTAATAGCTGGGGAGGGTCCTATCCTGGTGACTTCTTGAAAGGGGAAAATCACTGATACCTCATGGTCTTGAACTTCATTTTACCTTCGGGAGATACATTTGTTGTATTATTTTTTCAAGTGGTGATACTGTGAAGGATATGCATTTGTCTTTCATATTTCATTGAAATGAAAGTAATCTGTTTTATTAAAAAAATGTTTTTCAAATAAGGGTATTTTAAAAATAAGGGTAATTATAGGAGTGCCTGGCTGGCTCAGTAGAGCGTGCAGCTCTTGATCTCAAGGTTGAGCCCCACATTGGGTATAGAAATTACTTAAACAAGTCTTTAAATTAGGATAATTATAGAATCGACTCTATAGGGTTACTTGAAGATGTAGTAGGTTAGTTCATGTGACGTGCTTAGAATGATACCTGGCAATAAGCCTTCACTATGTTCAGTGTCTCGGGAAGCTATGTACACTGTGGGAGTGCTGGCTGGTGTTCATGGCGCTTCCTGGGGTGAGACTCCACCTCTCCCCCAGCTTGTTTAGGCCCAGTTCAGCCTCCATCTCCCCAGAGACCATTGCTAGAGATTGCCCTTCTGGGACTTCTCAGGGCCCCGTGTGGCTTCCTCGCGCACAGACTGTGCTGCACAGTATGATTCGCATCATGAGGTTGATTCGATTTCCTTTCCCTCTTTTCCAACCCTGCTACCTCTGCCTCAGACAAGGTGCTTGTTATTTCTGTATCGGACCGTGTCATAACCTCCTCACTCAGCCAGCCAGGCTCACTAGTTCATCCTGCACGTCTCAGTGTTTTCCTCCTTGGCAGACATAGATATTATCACATCTTTGTTTTTAAAACTTTTGTGGCTTTCCTCTTTCTGAAAAGTAAGATCTTGACACTTTCAAGTGGCCTAGAAAGCTTTGCAGTCTGGGGTCACTTATATCCCTGGTCTCCTTTCTGAATCCTCCCTGTCAGAATTAGGTGTTTCCTTCTTTTTGCTCACTCTGCATTTGCCATAATGTTGTGATGGCGTGACTTGTGTTTCTCTTAATGATGTTCTTTACTGGGGCTCTTCCTTCCCAAAACCCCCCATTGCTCAACCTGTCCCATAGTAAGCTATGTGAGGACCAAGACCAGGTTTGTGTCATCTATCTTTGATCTAGATGTTGCTCAGAAATGTTTGACTTCTGTGAATACAGTAGCATTGTAAACTAGTGATCAGCAAACTGTGGCTCATGGGCCAGGTTGGACTGGTGCTGGTTTGTATAAAGTTTTATTGAAACAGCCACACTCATTCTCTATGTATTGTCTATACTGGTTTTATAGCACAGCGGCAGAATTGAGTAGTTGGCGAGAAACCACATAGTTCACAAAGCCTAAAGTATCTACTGTCTTACTCTTTACAGAAAAGGTTTGCCAACCTGTTGTAAGCAATGATTGGGTTCCAAGATAGCATATGTCCCCAGTAATGTAACTCTAAAATACAAGTCATATTTATGTGGTGCTTTGCATTTTAACACTATCATCTTCTATTTTGATACACTCACAATGAAAAATAGAAAACAAAACATAAGACTACTAGTAGAATCAAAAACTGTGAGAGCTAGAAGGGTTATTTAGCTTAAACTCCAGATTTTATTGAGGAAGAAATGAGCTGAGAAAGAGGGTGACGTGCCCACAGCTGAGTTTAGATTAAAATTCACATTACTCTCCATTCTGGGGCACTATCTATTAAAAAATTAATAATTGTAAGTAATAAGTGATGTAATGAGTGGTTTCTTATCTCAAAAATGCTTAAAAAAACATTACGTATAGTTAGGGAGAGATGAAGATGTACACGGCTACCCTTATGAGGATTTTTTAAAAGTAAACTGTACCCCCACCATGGGGCTCGAATTCAATGGCCCCAAGATAAAGAGTCTCATGCTCTACCAACTGAGTCAGCCAGGCGCCACTCCCCCTTTATTAGGATTTTGAAGGGGACTTAAAGGCTGTAGTTTGATAACATTTACATTTTTATTTCTCTAATTCAATCAATACTTAGGACTCTCTTTTTCTCTCTTTTTGAAACTTTGTGTTTTGAGGAACAGTATGGAGGCCATTTTGGCTAGTGGGCGTGGATGAGACGAGAGGGTGGCAGGTGAGGCCCAGAGAAGTGGGCTGATGCCCTGCCGACCAGCATAAGAAGTTGGCTTGTGCTCTGAGCAGGATGGGGACCCCTTGGTGGAGGTGGGCTGCAGGGCGAGTGTGATCTGACTTGTGTTTTGGAAGTCACTTGGGCTGGAAGCAGGGAGACCAGCTGGTGGCTGTTGCCTGTGAGAAATGATAGTGGTTTGAGCCAGGTTGGTAATGATAGAAAACACCAGGAATGGTCAGATTCTGGATATATTCTGAATATAAAGGTCAACAGAATTTGTGTAGGGGTGTTTATGAGAGAAGTCCAAGGACTTTGGTCTGAGCAATTATAGAAGAATGGAGTTGCCACTTAAATGGGGAAGGTGGAGGAAAGATGGGTTTCAGAGGAGAAAATCAGGGATCCCAGAATCCAAGGGAAGAGACTGTTTCAGGAGGGGAGGAGTAGTCATCAGATTCAGCAACGTGTTGCTAATTGGTGTGTCCTCAGTAAGAGCCATTTTGGTGCAATGGCAGTAATAGTTTGACAGCATGACCTTTACACAGTGGGGCAGAGGGTGGCCTGGAGGCAACGGGAGTGTACAGGGCAGACCCAGGCTCAGTGACAAGAGCCATGTGAGAGAAAAGACATCCATGATGTGACAAGGCTGCAGGGAAAGCCGTACCCTCAGGACAAGCCAGGCATCAGGGCAAGGAAGTGAAGGGAACATTCAGAGAAGAGGTTGAGGACAGAGAATAGATGGAATCGAATTTGGAATGAACCGTAAACAACAAAAGGCACTGGCAAGAAATAACAGGGAGGAAGTGCTGGGTTTAATAATCCCGCATGCCAGCCGCCTTCAACCTGAGAAGGCTTGTAGGCAGGTTGCTGCCCAGGGCAGAAATCTGGGAGGGCCTCGGAGCAGGGAAGACAGCACAGCGCAGTGGGTTTTAGTGCAGAAGTGTGCAAGAGACACATTTGCACCCCGAGACAGCCAAGACCTTCTGGTCTTCCTACTCGTCTTTTTATATGTATGTTCTTTGTTCCCCTCAGTTGTATCAGAGTGGGTAGAGATTGTGTCCAGCTCTCTGCCTGGGGAAGCTTCCCGTAGTTCTGCCTAATGAGCAGTTCTTTGCCCGACTCTCATCCCTAGTGCATGGTGGCATCCCGGGTGATGGAGCATAAACTCCACGTGGTCCTTTGTCCAGGACCTGGAATTGTTTTCTTCTGCGTTGGAGTCCATCACAGAACCCAGCCCCTGACAAGCCTAGAAGCAAGCTGTAGGAACTGATATATTCTCTTGTCAATATCTCTTTCCCTGTCTTCTTGCCCTGCAGGAAAATTCAGTCACCCCGAGATAGTCCAACTTGTCTCCGAACTTGAGGCAGAAAGAAACGCTAACATAGCTGCCGCCGCCAGTGGGCCCCGCTCCTGATGTGTCCTGTCTGTTGCTGCCCTCCTGTGACAGACATTGTATTTTTCCCTTTCATGGTGTTGTTTTGCTACTGTTGCTTTGTTGATTCCCCAGATGCAGGTCTGTTTATTTTCCATTGCCTGGACTCCACTAAGAAACATGATACAATCTGGATAATAAAAGAAGGCTACAGAACAGGATGTGGTCCTAAAAGTGCCAGGGATGAAGCCTGTGGGTAGTGGGGGGAGTTTTTTTATGAACCAACTAAATAAATTTTTAAAACCTTAAACTTTGGACTATTTATTGGACATTTTGAATCACTTTATTCTAAATTAATAACCTAAAGCCCTTTAGGCCAGATGCATGCAATGATGGAAAATTACACTACGATTGCTTTTAAGAACAGAGTCTTCAGCTGACTTGGTGGTAAGGATCCAAGAAAAGGAGTGTATCCTGATGGACTTGTGAAATGCTGCTTTGTTCAGGCAGTCACCCTGTGGAGCCACATTGTTCATTTCGCTGCGACCTGCTTTAGGCCCCTGATCATAGACTTGTAACCTGGCTAACAGGCTCTGCCTCTGCCCCTAATCCTTTCTGTCATTTGGGGATATAAATTCAGGCATACAGTTTCAAATGCCGTTTTGTCTTCCTCTGTGTATTTTCCCCTGATTTATACATATTCAGACCTTGATTATAAGAACGTTTATCACCAGGTAAGAAATCTGTAATCAGAAGAGTACCGTTGGGGTCACTGCACCTTATGTAGGGAACATGTCCGACTTGGTTTCTTCCCCTCGTTTCCTTTCATTGGATGCGTAACCCACCCTGCTTGCCTCTAACCGAGGCACAACCGTGGAATGGCAAGGAAAAGAAGACCATCCATGCAAACCTGCTCGGTATTTTGGTGTGAAGCAATGATGCGTGTCCCTTTAATTCAAATGTCAGTTTCCATTTGAAGAAGGCCTGTTAGTCTGGCATGACGAGAGTATTCTAGGAAGCGTTTCTTTGGAAACTCTTTGCAGTATCCATGGATACCTAATCTGCAGGAAGCAAAGTGCATGATCGCTTCAGAAGCAACACACGTGTACATATAACTGTTCTGTCTTGAAAAGAGCAAAGCTGTTTGCTTCAAAACACTGATGCATCATAGCAACTGTATTTAAAAAGTGGTAAATGGTTGAAAATCTAGGTCTATTACTAGAGATACGATTAGTAGGAAAATAGACCCCCATCTATCAGTATTTTGGAGTTTTTTCTCCTGGCATGAAAACATGCACATAAAATAATCACAGGTAAAAGGTCAAATATTTATAACCAGAAGATTTTCTGCGGCTGTGAAGTTTTACTTGTGATGTTTTTGTTTGCCTGCTGAAATTTTCACAAATCCATAGACTAGGAAGCCTGTACTGGGTCGGACTTAATACTAGTCACCTAATCACCGTCTCGGTTTCTCATCTACTTAACAAGCTCCCACCTGTCCTAAACCTTCCTTGTCGGAGTAATAGGTTTAAAAAGAGAAAGAAAATGTAATGGTGCTATAAATATCATTTAATAAAGAATACAACGAAGATCAGTAGAAAAAGAGAGTTACTGAATTCATCAGCCAAGTCTACAAATATTTGAGCATCATTGCGTAAAAAAAATTTTTTTTTTCTCTTGGAAGATACTTTCTACTTGTCTGGAATCAATCTTCTGAATAACAAACCCTATGGTTATGATGCACTACAAAAAAAAAATATTATTGGGTTGAATTCAACAAAAAGGAATTTGCTACCTCCTTGTAATGAGCAAGAGACTACCCCACTCAAAAAGAGGACACGGTGGAAAGGCGGGGCTGCAGGGGGAGATGGAGGGGGCCCTCTAAGGCTGGCTCTCCCTGCCTAGACCCCGGGGGTCATGGGGGCTCTTTTTCAAAAGCAGTTCCTTCTTTTTCCCTTGTGGACTGGCATTTCCCCAGGTGTTACATAATTCTATTTGAAAATTTTCGATTCTAGCAGAATGTCCAACCTGTTCATCTCAGTCTGGTGGTGATGTGTGCTCACAGATAAATGCATGATAAAGTGCCTTGTGGAAAAGCATCCTCTGTGCCCAGCATTTTTATCTGAGTAATTTGCCAGTCTTCATATTCGAAGTGAAATTGGGACGATTTGGGGGCAGGGGGAGAGTTACGATGATGTTATTTTTGGGTTGCCTTGATCCCTACTCTTTATGGTATGAACTAAAAACATGTACATAATTTTTACCATTCTTAGATATTATTAAAAGTAACCATAAGAGGGGCACCTGGGTGGCTCAGTTTGTCAAGCAACTGGCTCTTGACTCCTGCTCAGGTCATGATCTCATGGTTCGTGGGTTTTAGCCCTGCGTCGGGCTCTGAGCTGACAGTGTGGAGCCTGCTTGTGATCCGCTGTCTCCCTCTGTCTGCCCGTCCCTGCTTGGACTTTCTCTCTCAAAAGATAAACCTCCTCCCCCCCCCCCCACAAAATTTTGCTACATATGATAATCTGAAGTTCTAGCTGAACACCAGGGTTGAAGCAGTTTTATTATATCTCATGTTTAAATCACTTTTTCATCTTCCCATCATCTTACTTTCCCACACCCGCCCACACTCCAGTTTGATCGTAGGTGAGAGGGGAGTTCAAAACCTTACACACTGTTTTGTGGTAAAGTTCTACTAATTTCAAGCTGACAGGTACTTTTGGAACAATGAACAGTGACAGAGCAGCAGTCTCCACTTCTAGTGTTTTCTTCACGTTGACCACTGTGAATGGCATGGTCTATCAAGCCGTTCCATTATAAAGCATGCCGCTGTGCTTTCTATAGTTCAAGAACAGTGTGATAAGAAAATGTGTAATTTAGAGTAAGATACAGATTACTGACATGACCTACCAATAGTCATAGTCTCTATGACATGTGAGTTGTAAGATAAAGTTGCACAGTATATTTATGAGTACTTTACATCCAGCAACAGTATTTTAAAAAAGCAGCAAATAGTTTACAGAGCTGCATACTTTTTAAAAGAGCGAGTTTATTTTGTAATCACAATTCATAATGGAATTCTAGGTTAAGAATTTTTTTTTGTTGTACTATAATTTTGTATATATGGTGTTGACCTGAAGTCATTTGATTTTTCAGTAAAAGATTGTCCATCGTGTGCGAATACCTTTTAGCACTTGTGGTAACACTTTAAACTACAGCCTGTGAACATAATGGGGAAACTCCAGGGCCAGTCAAGTCAGGATGACCTCGCACATGCAAAGTGAGGGAGAAACAGGCAGCTCTTGCGTGATTAGGAAATGAAAACTCTATGCTAAGACCACCCACCTACCAACAACTGGTTTGATTATTTCAGTTGGAGTGATGTGACTTATTCACAAATCACAAAATGATACTCGTGTCATTGTCCCTTATATCACTCCCAGATAAGAGTGAATAATAATCAAAACCTTTCAATGAGTAGATGTGACATGAATATAGTTTTTATAAAACTGATGAAATTCAAAGTTTTGAAAAATGGTTTAAAAGAAGGAGCTAAAATATATTTGAAGCTTCAAGACATTAACACTAATTTTCTTGATTGCTTCTTTATCCACTTTTAATACTATGTTTTCAGATTGTAAGGCTGAGAACTGTGTGTACAGAAATTAGTTGGTGAATGAAGATATTTGTTTATAGAACCAGAACTCTTGTTTTTCTAATACAGTGCAGTGTACTGAATGTGGCCAAAGGGAATACTGTCAAGAAGTTAGTTTATAAAAGATGACCATGCCAAACACACCAGGCAACTACAGATTGAGCGCAGGAAGATTGATACCCACATACAGCAGTGGGTGAGTAAGTCACAAGCCAGCTGGGCAAGATTTGGCTTCAACCAACATGCTAGAAGGTTAAAATTAGGGAAAATGCCAGCGATCCTAGTGGCAGGGCTTCTTGGTCCACTTGAGTCCACTCTGGTTCAAGTTTATAGCCCCATACCTATCTCTGCTAAGATTCCAAGCCTCAGAGATTATATGGCTTTGAACTCGCTTGATTTTCAGTTAGATGTATGGATTGTCCTGCTCCATTAATTTGAACAGGATTTTTAGGAGGAACTTAATGGAGGACCATGGGGGAGAAGAAGGGGGGGAAATGGTGGGGGAAAGGGGGAGAGGCAAACCATGAGAGACTCTTGAATGCTGACAAAAACTGAGGACTGATGGATATGGGGGGAGAGGGGGGATGGGCATGGAGGAGGGCACTTGTGGGGATGAGCACTGGGTGTTATGTGGAAACCAACTTGACAATAAACTATTTGTAATATATATATATATATATCTAAAAAATAAAATCTAAAAAAAATTTGAACAGGATTTTTCAGATTGGCTTTATTTCCCTATGTCACATATCTTCGGTTCTATCTAATAATAAATTTAAAAATGAGTAAACACTAACAAATATACAATATATATTGCATGGATAATGCAGATCTATATATCTATATAAAGAGAGAGAGATTAAATTGTGATTTGTTTCTTAGTAGGTCAATTCTGTGTTCATTTAAAAATTGCATCTATAGCATGTGTGTCTACCTAGTAACAAATGTATGTTCCCATTTAGAAGGAAAGAGAAGCATATGATATGGAAGGTAAAAATTCCTGCAGAAATCCGATTATATTAATACTATGCTTTTTTCATTCATATGAGCAATTTGCAAAATGGAAGGCGTTGCAGAACCGTTTCTCCCATTTTCTAGCCACCCCGTTTTCAGATTTCTCTTACCTGAGTTAAATACTACTCTGTGTAGATTAGAATTTTAGAATTGGTAGGGTCGCAGGGTTATTACTTACACATCCTCTTATATACATCAAATTAGCAGAAGTTGATTTAAAATAGCACCTGCAGATTCATAGCTACCACCTTGTAAAGTCCTTACTAGCCCTGAAAACTTAAATAAAGAATTCAGTTATCATTAAAATCGATTATTTTAATTGCTTAAATAAACATACATAATTGATGCAAGTGAGGGCGATCACAGGCAGTTTGATGAAAGTTGCCGTGAGTCTATCCCATTGCGGCAGACTTCTCAGAAAAAGCTCCACCCAGCCATCCGACTGAACTGAAAGGGGGCGTTCATTCTCAGCCTTCAACGACATGCACATCATAAAGGAGTGCAAGCAAAAATCAAAGCAGATCATTAATAGCTACATGTTTGGAAAACATACGTGGAATTACACAAAGACAGGGTACGGCCAATTGTGTACCTGCTGAAGGGATATTTTAAATTATCACAATCTACGAATACTTAAGTGTGATGGTCAAGTGATCCATCATTAACACAAATACAAAATGGAAATCATTTTATGAAACTCCGCGGAGAGGTCATTCGAAGAACGGGTCAAGGCCTGGGTTTTTCCGCAGGGGGATGTTGGTGGCCGCGAGCGCGCGCGCGGGGCGGGGGCGGGGCGCGGCGGCGGCCGCAGGGGGCGGCCCTAGCACTGCAGCTCCTCCTCCTCGGCCCGCCGGGGCCCGCCCCCCGAGCTCCGCGCGCTGGCGTGCGCCGTGGAGCTGAGCACCTCTTCAAAGCTGCCTCCGCCGTGGTTTGCCCCGCCTACTTTCGTCTGAAATGGGGCAGAAACGCAAACGTGCAGTTAGTTCATCCGGCCTGCGATGTTCCTGTGAAACGGATTACTCTTAAATTCAGAAATACATATTTTTTTTTTTTTCTTGCGAAAGGACGTAAAAGGTGTAATTTCTTTTAACAGAGTGCTAGAATGCCATTCATGCTTGGGTTCTGGGACAGCATCCAAAACTCTAGTTTTGTACAGTTTTAGCAGTGCCCTCTTTATCCCTTCTACATCTAAGCATCTCAATCCCTTCAGGAGCATATCCAGATCTGTGGATTTGCACTGTCTACACATTCACCCTGTGAACAGATGTAATCAAAACGTAACCGGATTTTAGATAAATTTCCCTCAATTTAAAAGATGTATGAACATCTTTAAGAGACTTCAGCTTAGGCTTTCTACTGGGATTTAGCAAGGCGATCTGGATTCCTGACAAATGTATTTCGTAAAGTGGCTCCACTGAACATGGTTTCTGGTCTCTGCTCTGAGAGGTAGACAGGACTCAAATCTTAAGTACTGGCCCCTTCACGTCTTTCTAGACAGTTGCCCTGATAGGAGGAATATCCCTTGAAATGCAAAGTTATGATGCTTTAGGAGGCTACCTTTTCGTGTACTTGTTATTGGTATTAAGAATAGAATCAGGAAGAAATCAATTTATAATATAATAAGAAATATGGTTAACAAGTCTTTTGAAAGATGGGGCACCTGGGTGGCTCAGTCTGTTGGCATCTGACTTCAGCCCAGGTCATGATCTTGCGCCTCATAGGTTACAGGCCAGAGTCGGGCTCTGTGCGGATAGCTCGGATCCTGGAGCCTGCTTCAGATTCTGTGTCTCCCTCTCTCTCTGCCCTTCCCCTCCTTGTACTCTGTCTCCCAGCAATAAATAATCATTAAAAAAAATGTTAAAGTCCTTCGAAAGAATATTTAATGCTTAATGCCAAGTCTTACTGATGCTCACATTGGTCTTCCTTTAACAATTAACAATATGGAAAAGCAAGTTGAGGAAAAGAAAGGTACAGAATAGGAAATGTGGCTTCTTCCAAAATGCTGACTGCTCCTCACTGCCACCAAAGTGATCACTCACTCACAGGGGAACATAAGCCACACTGGGGGATGTATCTGCTTACTGTCTGCTCTGCCCTTTAAAAAACTTAACCAGGTTTTAAAAGGTGTTTAATCATTGCAAAACAAGCACCTACTTTTCTCCAATTGTCACTAAAATCCCTCTCTGCCTCTTTAAATTCAATTCCTAAGTTGAATTTGCCACTATGCTCGGGGTCAGAAAACTCATTCTGGAAAGTGACAGATAATAAATATTTTAAGCTTAGGAATCACATAGTCTCTGTCACAAATACTCAAATCAACCATTGTACAAGCAGCCAAAACCAATACATAAGTGAATGAACATGGCTACGTTCCCAGAAAACTGTATGTATGGACACTGAAATGTGAATTTCATGTAATTTTAACACATCACAAAATACCATTCTTCCTTTGATTTTTATCAATCATTTAAAAAATATAAAAACCATTCTTAGCTTACAGGCCATTCAAAAAATAGGCAACCAGCTGGGTTTGGCCCACAGCCCTTCATTTGCAGACCTCTGGCACTGAGCTTGGACTCCCCTCCCACTCTGGGTCATCCCAGCGCTGGGAAGAAGCAGGCATTGTTTCAACTTTGTGATTTTTCACTATGTTTATTTCTTTCCGGAGAGAAACAAGAGTAATTCAATGTAATCTACTCTATTAGTAGTTCCCATTTTCTACTTTATTGTATTTGCATTTTGTTTTGCAAAAAAAGTCACACACAGTTTTGAGTCAAGTCAGTACCAATTACTGACATTTTGTGTTGGGTTTTGTTGCATTCTCCTCTCCTTGATTTTCTCAAATCAAAACAGAAAAATAAAGGAGGGAATTGTTTTGAAATAAAGCAATTTGGCAAAAAGGGGAATGGGATAAAGGGGTCTTCTAATCACGTGGGTTGAGTGGAATAAAGGGGTATCCTAACCGTGTGGGTTGAATGAGCACACACAGAAATACTTTAGGTAAAGAGTTGCTTCAGCAAAGATGTGAACAATAAGCCTCTTCCAGACTCTTAATCCAAGCATTTGTCACCTTGTCCCCAAAGCTATGATTGCTGTTTTCATTAAATTCTATTTGAATTATTGCGCTGGGTCTCCTAATCTCTCATAATATAATGGCTGGTTGAGAGGATACCAAGAAGTAGTAAGTATATCTTGTCTTTTTTTTTTTTTTTTTAAGGTTTTAAATCAGGCCATGCAACGTATTCACTGAAGAGAGGCGCACTAAAAATATGGTGTGTTTGACATGGTTCGAAGAATGATTGGAAGTCTGAGTGATTACAATGGAAGGGATGTGGTTGGTTATTCCCTGGAACATGGCAGAATATGACAAATATGGTTTTATAGGAGCTGGGTTTCATCTGCTTGTTTGTTTTAGGTGCAAAACAAAGTGTGCTCACTGAGTGCACAGGTGAAATCAGCTGAGATGTCATCAGGTAATGTCAACAGTGGTGTAGGCAAAAAGGACTAAATTTTATATAATTATGATGCATTGGAAAAATGTTCATAGAAAATCAAAAGATCTACAGAACTGGGTAAAAAAAAAAAAAGGAGGAACAATCAATTGGGTATAAATGCCACATGGTGTGTGACAGATTGTGTGAGAAGATGCAAGAACGGACCTCTCTTCCCAGCAGAACATTATTTCTAATAGAACATAAACATGAACATGATTCCTTTTGTGTGGTGTTTTAAAAACCAAGCTTAAAGCAGTATGAGTGAGTGGAACTGCAGACTATAAATCTGCAAGGGATGTCCTTACATCTGATTCATCCTTACTGATTTGGGAGTCAGCTGGAAACAGCCTCACGATCCATAACTGAAGAAAGTTATAGAAATTCTGGAGAAAAATCTAGAACACAAAAGTAAACTATGCAGCAAAGAAACTATATGAAGAAGGGTTAAAAAGAATGAGCGATTTGCAATTGCTGAATATGAGTGGGAAGTTTTACACAAAGCACAATTATTAGCTGTTTGTTTTCCATTGCCGGGTGGGCAGAGAAAGAGGAAGTAGGCATTGACTGTGACATAGGAATCGCGTGGGATGTGAGTCTTGTTAAGCCCAGGGACAATCATGCAGACACAGAATCCACTTTAAGGAAGTCTTGACACAGGCTAGTATCTAGTCGGTTGAGTTAGTTTTGTGCTTGTCTGAAGGAGGAGGCAGCCTTTCCACCTTCCATCCCCATGAAGTGAGAAAAGTGAGAAGCTCAGAGTACGAACCAAACACTTAAATCATATGTGAGCTGCGAGCTTACCAGAGTTTCCTAAAAGCAAATGGAAATAGGTTGTTCTTTATTCTTCTTTTGCTTCTTCATATCTCCTTCTTCTAAAGAAAACCTAAAAAGTACAACTTCTCCTATGTCAGAATTTATCTGACAAGCAAACAGAATCCACCTTCCTTCGATTGTCTAAGGCTGAGAACCAAATGCCGAGAAATTAGCTCCTAGGATTTTCTGAATCTTTGTTCTGAAACTTGATATCTTAGCAAGAGAAATGTTCAAGGAACTACACTGTACCTCCTTATCAAAAGCTTTCCCTACACCTGGGGGCAATATAATGGCTCCTACGGGTCCTTACACACTCAATAAGCAATGATGTGTACAAGCAGGGTGGTGAAATCGCACAATACAAACTGCTGGTAAATGAAAGGACAGCATGGGAAAAGCTGAGTAATAATCTCATTTTTGGGCCTTAAACATCTAATCACAGGCCTAATAAAGTAGAAGTAGAAGACTGCGTGAAAGATCCTTCCCTAAGAGGAAAGACTCACCAAGTCAAAATCAATAAGAACACACAGACCCTCTAGAAGGAATACCTTCTGGCCTCACAGACTTATCGGGCAGCACGTGGTGGCAGAGGATTCAGAAGCAGCTGGATAATCAGCATGTGCATATACCTGCTTTTGATCTGGTTAAAGATCATCTGCATTCTTCACTTTCCCAGCTAGGGAAATACAGAAATGGATTGTCTACAAAACCGTGATAATAATATCAAGGTGTATTTAAGTCATTGTTTACATAAATAAATTAGTAGTTTCAATGATGTTTTCCTCCTGTTTTGAAAGTTCTCTACATTTTAAGACTAGATTGATTTTATTTGTGCTTTCTTCCTCCGTAGACTAACTTATCTACGCTCAGACAATATATTCAAATGAAATTTTTAGCCCCTCCCATGAAACAGACATATTTTCAGTTTTGAACCTGGAAATCGAATGCATTATTGCAAAGTAATGCATTTTGTGACTTTATTTTCCCTCCATGATAATCCCGCTGTGCTATTCTCAGTGTGTGGAGTAAACAAGTTTAGGTGGCTCACGGGAGGTGGAAGGCAGAATGACGCGTGAAGCCAAGTTCATTGTTGCTAGTACATGTGCAAACCAGAGGGGCTCTGAGCTGTTACTGACTTTCCACTTGCACTCTGAATCCAGAATTCGCATGTCCTTTATCCTATCCACAGTCCTCTCTCAATACCTGTTTTCAAGGGGATAACACTAAGAGTTCTAACCATCGAAGATGTGAACACAAATCCCAGTTCACTTTAACAAATAATCACCCATGCACAGTTTACACGAACAACTCTATAAGGGTACAGCAACACCATTCAATACTGGTTTTACTGACAGATTTATATGGAAAGAAAAAGATGGACTCTGTGCAAGGCTGCCTTCCTGGCTGCAAAAAGTGCTCGCAGCCCTGCCTTTGGAGCTAACCACAGCAATGGCTAACGCTGTCCTGATTCACGGACCCAACGACACAAAATCCACTTCATCTGTACCTTAAGGCTTGTGACAGTTGTCTCAACCCTCTCCTCAAATGATTTGAAAGTAGGAGAATTCCTAAAATAACAGAAAAAAGAGAGGTCAGCCCCAAAGACTCAGCTGTCTTAGCAACTGTGCTAGCTACAGAAATCGTGGCTTTCTGTTCTTCTCTGTAAACATCATCTCTGCACCGGAGCCAGCTGTGGGTTTGCCACCTACAACAACCAGGTTTGAAAATCTATTTTCATTTCTACTTGAGTGAGACCCACAAACTATAGCCTGACATGGACATTTTCTACGTAAAATACTCATATCATCGACTGTAGAATAAATTGTACAGCATTTTGTTAATGACACAACTGTAATAATTTCAAGAAGCAATGGAAGTCATTTCCAATGAGTCAAAGGAGTGGTAGCTTAATTAGTCATTTACTAATTAATTTTTTCTATCACAGTACTCCTTTTCCCAACTCTTCTTTCTTCTTTTGGTAAACAGTGGAAAGTCGATCTGAAGAATGTCATGTTAGAATTATCTCCCTTGGAATTTTAAAGCTATTTATTTCAGTAAATGGGAGAGAAGACAGAAATAGCTCAAGAAAAAAAAAAGGTTCATAAATTTTTCTTTCCCATGCCTCAAAAAGTAATCACTTTGTCAATTTCCATGAAGTGGTGTTTCTGAAAGTCAGTGCTTTCATTATTTTTCCTCATAAAGAGGATATACATTTTGTTCTCCTTACCAAACAGAATCTTTGCAGTTACTGACATTTTATTTGTGACTCATTCATTGTGTTAAATAATCTATATGTACCATCTTGTTACTTCAAGCATTAGATACTTCATTTGGGGCTTTTTGGTTTCCTATATTGGATTTGGCCTCATGACATTACGATTTAATGACACCATTAACATTGAAAATGATATCCCCAAGTCCAACTAAAGAAACAGGAACTAAGAATTCAAAATGTATCTGAATTCTTGTATTCATGTCAGCACTTGGCCACAATGATTGTCATCATTTTCAAGTCAAATAATTAAGCTGAATGTTACTAAATTTAATAAGCTGCCTGTTATTCTCTCTTGAGTGTAGAAGAACTGAAATAAAAGGAATGGCCTAGAGGAATTTTATAAGAGAGAATGGATATAATATAATATAATATAATATAATATAATATAATATAATAATATAATTAATACATGCGCTTCTTTGTATGGTGCAGAATGAAGCATGACTCTAATATTATCAAGAGGAAACTAATGAACATAATATGTTTTTGAGTGCATTTGGCTTTGTTAGAGATTATCTCTAGAAACTGTGACACTCCTGATGGTCAGAAAGGCATTTACATTCATGCTGCATGAATTAAGAACAGTGAGTTCACAGGGCGTTATGACATCACATCTTATATATAATGTAAGCATGAGTCAAATTCCTGAGTAATCCTCCATAATACTGCTGTTTCATTATGAAGTATTAATGAATTTACACCTGAATGACCCAAGCATACACCTCCATTGGCACTTTCCTTCCACTGTAGGTTTTATTTGGGCAAGCCTGCTCACATGCCTGCCTATCACTGATCAGTTAACAGGCCTGCGGTGGTCAGACAGGTCAGCCGAATGCTTCGTGGGTATATGTTAGATGAGTAAAATCTCTTTTTTTTTTTTAAGTTAATTTCAGGCAAGATCATGAGGACTACATCTCACCCATAAGCCGCTTGATGGATTCACAGAGCAAAACCATGTTAATTTTTTGCAAGCCCTTCACTGGACACCCACATTAAAAGTGGTTGTGTAAAGGAGCTCAGAGTTGCAGGATGCACTACTCAATTTGAGTGTTTTTATGCTACAGGGAGCAAGTCATTCAAAGATGGACTAGGTGATCTTGAATCTATGCTCTCTATTTACCACCATATTAGGGAAATAAAATACTGTGGCTGAATTTCCAAAGTAATTGTACAACCCCAGTGTGGAAGAAACATCATCAGGATAATAAAACAGGCATTCCTCTAATTAAATTATACTCAGATGTGTGCTAGACAACAGAGAAAAGGTGTTGACTCTGATTTAATGAGGTCATATTACAACTACAAATGACCCCAAAAGAGTTTGGCTTCAGTGGTCTCAAACTTTTCAGATTTGGTGTGAATATACAGTATAAAGCAGGGGACATAGGGATATTTCGGACTGAAGTGGGGGAGGGTCCTGGAGGCTTGATCTCCCACAACCCCCTCCAATTCCACCCCCCAACCCTCCCGCCCCCAGCAGCCCAGCCCAAGGCAGCCCTCCCATGGCAAGCACAGTGGGGAGAGCCTCTTCCTTTAAATATGAAGAAACTGGTATCACTGAGGTGACTTTCCCAGGGCTGCCAAGTTCATTCTTGGCAGAGCTGGGCTATAGTCTGCATCTTCTGACCCCCAATCTGACACCCATTCTTCTATACCCTATTACTATTAGTGTGCTTTTATCTACTAAGCCATGCAAACTTGAAGTGGGGAATGTTTTTCTCAGAAGTTTTCATCCAGTTAGTAATTTTAGTGACACTTTTATTATTTTATTAATCAACAGACACCTCACCTTAGTATCTACCTTAAAAAATCCTGGTGATATCCTCTCTACAACTGTAGCCCTCTCCGTCTCCTATTCATTTCATTTAAACTGTCTCCCAGGCTTGCATTTAGTTCTCCTGAAATGAGGAATATCTTCCACCTTTGCAGGTGTGTTCGTCCAGGCCAGTGCTAAGAAAGGGCTTTACACAGGTTACTTGATTTATGTCACACAACAACATGTGCGGTGGGACTTATTTCTCCCCATGAACAGATAAGAGCCAATTGAGATTGGCTAAGTGACTTGTCTCAGGTCACACAAATGAGGAGAGGCTGGATTTAAGGCAGTGTGTTTGGTCCAAAGCAGAAGCCCATTATACCCTAACTTCTGTAGAACCCTTAGACTTTTCTCCTGAAAGCCATCAGAAAAGAGAATAAAGGAGGTCATGGCATTTCCTTTCATATTAAGCAGGGGGAAAAGTTCCACAAAGTAAATATCAATAAAGTCACACTTCATACATTCTGGATTGATACTATATAAAGTAATTGACACACATTACCTCATAGCAGGCATACTTATGGAATGGCGAATGGAGTAGCTTCAGGGCAAAAGCAGATTAAAAGAAAAAAAAAAAAAGAAAAAAGAAGATAGCACAACATAAGTACATGAGAAATTTCCTATTCATAGTTCTAAAACAGCAATTTCAACTATCTAAAGTATTCCTTGCCCACCCCACCAAGATGACATTTGTTTTCGTTGGGTAGGACAGCCCACAATCAGGTTTCAAGGGCATAAAGAATACACTGTCCAAGGTGCATGTTATTTTACTTCCTGTGGGTTGTCTATGGGCCGGAAACTCTGAGGAGAATGTTTGGTTTCCTCAGGTGTGCCCAGGAGCCCGTGGACACCCTCCTTAGGTCCAAATCCCTCTCACCTCCCTTCTGTTCAGGAAGAGAAGAAGGGGTGTACTGAGGAAATAGAGCTCAGCAAGTAAAAGCTAATCGTTCCATTGTAGAGAAACTCTCAAGAGGAATATATGTAGTTAATGTAAGACATTCAAGGAAACACATGGCAGGCAAACACCATCCACACAGTCCAACATGGGAGAAAGGACTTCAGCATCCATTCCAGGATATCTGGTACAAATATCAACATTTCTGAGAATTCTAAGGGTTTCAGCCTTCTCTATTAATCCTATGGTAGCCGACTCATCTTTTTCTCTGATTGCTTGTTATTTCTTTATGAGTTCCACTCAGAAATCAGGCTGGGCAGAGAGAGGGAGCATTATGGGTTCACACTACCTGGGATGATGCTCCCCCTTCACACTTTCCAACACTTGCCCTGCTTCTCTCTTCCCAAGAAGATAAGAGTAAGCAGTCAAACTCCTCACCCTTTCCCAACAATATCATGAGGTCATTAGCATGGGCAACACTTTAGTCAAACTCAGAAAGTAAAGGACAAAGAAATTCAGGGGGTACCTATGATCTTACTTACATGCTCCACTTAGAAACGATAGGTAAAACATTTCCTCAGAAATTATACTTTAAAAAAAATTACTAAAAGAAATTCATCAGCGTTATCAATCTAATTAATCTCTTTAAGTACAGGCAGTTTTCTTAGAAAAAAAAAAATCCCCCCCTCAAAAGTATATAATAAGATTCCACCTAACAGATGGCTTACCGGACAACTGCACATTACCTATCATAAGTGGTCTTCTGGTAACCCTTCCCCTCTTTAGAAGGTACAGAAAGTTGAAGGTGAACCATCCACATAAGAAACAGAAGAATTTGAGAAAAACAACAATCTAGAGAAAAGAATTTTCTAGTTCTGTTTTACTTTTTAAAAGCCTCATAGACACACATAACTTTGGTGACTGGGTGGCTCAGTCGGTTAAGTGTCCAACTCTTGATCTCTTGACTCAGGTCATGATCTCATGGTTTGTGAGATCAAGCCCCAAGTCGGGCTCCTTGCTGACAGCAAGAAGCTTGCTTGGAACTCTCTCTCCCTCTCCCTGCCCCTCCCCTGCTCTCACTCTCTTTCTCTCAAAATAAATAAATGTTTAAAACACACACACACACACACACACACACACACACACACCTACCTCTCAATTTATGCTTTTTTTCCCTTCTTTCAATTCTAAGGACCCCTGCCAATGCAGGAAAGATTGGGAATGTAGGAAGGGATTCCTAAGAGATCGGTCAGCAAGCGAAACTGGTGTAAATGACTCAAAAATGAGACAAATATGTGCTTAAATAAATTCAAACCCATTAGATGCCCTGTCCTCTGTAACTGCCTGGTCACAAACATTCTCAGGAAAAGAGATCTAGTGTTATGGCCGAAGCACACCCACGATGTGAGGGAAGCAGTGGGCTCTGGGAAGAAAGGGAGCAGCCAGGGAGCCAGCAGGGCCCCAGAGGCAGCGCTTACCCGATGGAGTGAGACCTGCAGCCCGGGCAGCACAGGAGAAAGCAGGAGTAGAGTTAGCATATCAGGATGCAAAGACAGGACCACAGTGCCCTTTGCCCCCTCTCCCAAGAGCCCCAAAGCTAAGACGATGTGACTCCATCTATTACTCTTTTGGAGGATACTTTTTAATGTCTCATCATAATAACTGTACCAACCTGTTATGCACTGTGCTTCTATTATTCTCATAGCTATATAGAGAGATGGTTGGACTCTACTAAGTTATATGCCTCCTCCAAAGATTTCACCTCCACTAGTTCACACACCATTTGAACAAATTACTGTGAAGTTCCAAGAAGATGCCAGTGTTATTATCAAAATGATTCCAAGAGCTTGCATTTCTACAGAGTACTTTCACAAATGTGTCCTCATTTTAACTTTGCAGGAAGCATTTTAGTTCAATAGCTATCGATTAGCAATGTTATTTTACAGGTGGAGAAAGAGAAGGGGGGCAGTTGTATTGATGGGGCTAAGGAGACTTTAGGCATTGCCAATCGGGATGAAATGAGAATCTTAGCTTGAAAAAATATGGCCTGCTTTTAGAAAACATCAATTTAAGGGAAACTTGGGTTGGTTAACTATCTAATTCTTGATTTCAGCTCAGGTCATGATCTCATGATTTGTGAGTTCAAGCCCTGCATCAGGCTCTGTACTGGCAGCACAGAGCCTGCTTAGGATTCTCTCTCTTTCTCTCTGACCCTCCTCCACTCATCCTCTCTCTCTCAAAATAAATAAATAAACGTAAAAAAAACAACAACTAGCTTTATTGAGTGCTTAATACATGGCAAACTCTCTTCTACAACTTTTATAATAATCTGATGATATTGTTACTCTTACCCCATTTCAGAACAGAACACCTGGTACAGGTGAGCTACGTGGCTTCCTCATAACCCAACTACCTGACACTGAACCACTTAAGAGATGGTTACAAATGCATATCCCTAGACTCTGCCCAAGACCCACTGAGGCATAATCTCGAAGAGGTGAAATATGGAAATATGTACTTTAAATAGGCATCAGAGGTGTTCATAAAGTCCTCTAAAGTTGGAGAAATAACACTCCAGTGGTCCTAGTGTTCCAGCAAAAGGTTTCAATAAGTATGTGGAGGACAAATTTTATAAATATGGCACAATATATTTTCTTGGATATAACAAGTAATAGGGTATTTTCTGTTTAGAGAAATTACTTAATTAGTTTAGATAAATGTTTTAATGCCATTAAAAAGACAGCAGATTTTATTTGTAATAAAAGGGTTAATTAATAATCCAGAAGTTTTATCTATTCATCACATGCAGCCTCTGAGAAATTTCAGTTGCTTTTCATTATTGCATTATTAATAAATATGAAGATAAAACAGTGCACCCAGATTCATGCACATGTCCTTAACTCTAGCCTCATGAATGCCAGCTTGTTAAGATAATACATGAACATTGGGCACAATCCAGTAAAGTTTATTTTTGAACAAAATAAGCACAAAGATATAAATATTTGCCTGTAGGTATCAAAGTGGCAGGGTAATAAAGAAAGTAATAGCTTAAAGAATCCAGTGAAATAATATGCACAGGTTTTTAAAAGGAAGAAATTTAATATGTATACTTCAAAAGTTTTTAAGATGAATTTGATTTCAAGAGAGAAAAATAAAATTGATTTATAAAGAAAAATTTCCTAAGCATATTGCCAAATTCAAAATAAACTGATAGGTATTTAAACAAGCAAAGAAAAAGTATGAAAGTAACAAGTCTATATGAAATAACTTACTAAAAACATAATAAAAAATAAAAATGGTCAATACTACATTGTTTTTCTGGTGCCTACAGTGAGGACATTTAGTTCTCAATTTAAAGTCTTGATGTTCAACCCTAAATTATATAATAATGAAATACTGAAAATAACCAAGTTATGCAAGGACTATATACCATAGTACTTTTTGGGAATAACAGAATAAATATGTATGTATTTAGCATAGAAAAAATATACTAGATGAATGTATACAAAAATGAAACCTAGAGTAGTTTATCAGAGCATATTCCATTGAATCCATATTTTAACTTACTGTTTAAATTTTAATGAATAAAATTCTGTGTGTGCTGCATTCTTTTGAAATCCTCCCCTATTACTAGTAATTAAAGGAATCCTGTATCTTACATTTTTACTAGGACATGTCCCAATGGAAAGGGAATCTTTGAGATCAGGCTCACTAACCTGACTTTCCGGCAGAAGATTTTCCATTAAAAAGTTTATCTTAGTCACTATCACTATCAGCCACATAAAACTTTAACCCACTTAAAAAAGAATATACTAGAAAGACCAGCCAATGGAGAAAGCTTCCCTTTCCTCAGAAGGCCAAAGGCTTAGAGCCATTCCCACAGTTGTTTTCCATGGTACCTCATGTCTCCAAACTTCTTGCTGATGGCTGTCCCAACGTTGCTGAAAGCCGCAGTTGCCTTCTGCCCTGCGTGACTCAGGGTTTCATGTGTTTTCTTGTAGCTAGAAGTAAAACAGAACAGTTTATATGTCATGATCGCCTATAGAAAAACCACCATCCTTCTCCTTCCTTACTTTGAAAATCTCCTTTTCTAAGGGTGTCTGGGTAGCTCAGTCAGTTAACCGTTCAACCTTTGGTCTTGCCTCAGATCATGATTTCAGGGTTTGTGAGCTCGAGCTCCGTGTTGGGCTTTGCACTGACAGTGCTGAGTCTGCCTGGGACGTTCCCCCCACCCCTCCCCTCCACTGTTTGCACATACACTCTCTCTCTCAAAATAAATAAATAAATAAATAAAGTAAACATTAAAAAAAGAAAAGAAAATTTGCTTTTCTAAACAGACTTAGGAAGAAGATGATCCACAGAAGTTCATGTGTTGGCTGCTACTTGTCAGTGGAAAAGTCAGACCATTAAATCTGAATTCAGGAAAAATATTCATATTGAAGTACAGATCTGAACGTGCAGATCAGATGTGTGATCACAAGCAGTAGAAGTGCTCTGAGAGTACAGAGCTATTCTTAAAGAAGTGTGTGTTTTAACTCTATGAAGAGCTGCTTGCAAGTAAAGAGTTAGCCATCAAAGGTAACACAGAAATTAGGAAATGTATGTTTCAATGTGAAGATTTAGCTTTTACTATTCAATTGGGTAAAATTAACCAGAAAAGGTCAAAATATAATTAGTATTTAGCTTATTTTTCTAATACTCATAGCTGGGAATAAGGAGGGCACATGATCTTAAGGTAATGCAGTGACTTTTTTCTAAACAGTTTTAGGAATATAATACTACAGTTATCTGTTCATAAGCCTATGTCCCCATTTGACTGACTCCTTGAGGGCTCAGAGTCAAAGTCAAAGTCCATGCAACAGGACTCATGATGATCATACACAAGCTGGTCCTCTTTCTACCTGCCCACTCTGCTCCATCACTGACTTCCTCTCCAGGCCTTGCACTGAACAGGCCCCGTCCTGCCTTAAAACCTCTGCTCTAGCTGCTCTGCCATGTGATCCCATCAATTTGCAAGGAAAGTGTTTTGTTGTATTGTACATGCCCCACTTTGAAGAAGTAAAAGGACCAAAGCCTGCATCCTTAGGAAGACTGTGAAAGCTGCCTTTTCCTGGCCCATTAGGGACAGAGATCCCTGGGACCTCGGCCAAGTGGGTGTCAGCAGAATAGAGCTGGGCTCTGGGGGGAAAGGGCACTCACCCAGCCCTGACTCTGTAGGGCCTCAAAGGTGACTCAAGGGAAAAGTAAAGAAATACTCTGCACGGTCTGTGACGTTTGCATGAGGCTGGGACTAGGTACTAGTTAGAGAATTCCTTCTTGCGTTCTTCCTGCATTTCCACAGGAATGTACAGTTAGAGCAAATATTTAATTTTCTTATAAACTGTTCCATGTAGTTTAACTTTATGTATTGAGAATGCTTTGAATTTAGAGATGAGGTGACTTTTGAACACTTGTGTGTATCACATTCTGAATTTGAGGGCTTAATTTAAAAATAAAGCACCTAGCCAGAGAGAAGTACGCATAGTAAGCAGGAAGTGCTAGCTGCCTTATGCTTTAAATACACTTCTCTAGCAAAATGTACAGTGGGGATATATGGGAATCTGATTACTTTAGTGAAATGCGAGTGGCATTTAAGTCTTCCCCATGAAAAATGCAACTCTATACCTATGTGAAATTTCAAAGTTTAAATTCAACCATATGGAGAGCTCAAAGGAGTGTCGAAGAGAGATTTTTAGGACTGTTAACTCTTTATTTCTGAAAATTATATAATGTTAAATCTGAAAGACACCAGAGTCCCATTCCTTCAGACTTCAGACGATGGGACCTGGGCCCAGAACAACCGTGTGACTTTTTAAAGACAGAGAGAAGGCTAGGACCAGGGTGCCGGCCTTCCTCCAGAATGTCTTCTTGCTTTGGAGACGTTAGACATTCGAAGGTGAGTTACATGAGCTCCAATATTTTGTGGAGAGAAATAGTAATACTGCATTTCAAGAATTCTAAGATGCACCTTTTCCCCCCACACTTTTATACCTCTTCTTCCCAAATTAACTACCACATTTCTTCAAAACAATTACTAGTCATCCTACATACATTACATAAGAGACCAATAATTGAGGGAAAGAGATGTGGGGGGGGGGGGGCGGGGAACAAGACAGGGTTGCATGTGAGGAAGTGGTTTTCCAGAACAAAGGGATCAGGGACCCCATGAGAAATAGGCCGCTGGGCTCAGAGCACTTAAAAGCTCTGAGAAGTACCACTCACGTAAGTGCAGGGTCCCCCTGGAATTGTGTACCGCATGGGTCCTGTAACCTTACACTGCATCCGCCCTGGGCTCGACCTCAAAATTGAATGAAATAATACACCAGATGTGAGGTGCCCGTGTCTTGAAAAGAGACCCACCTATCAGGCCACTAAAAACTCCCAAGGATGTCATTGTACATACATTTTAATCCCTTTATTGTTCCATGGGATTCGGCACACAGTTTGTATGACTGATACTTCAAACTGTTTTTCAACCCTATCACATAAAATTACATTCACTAATATTCAAATAATGAAAAACAACTGAAACACCAACCTTCTAATTGACTTGACAACCTTGTAATTTAGATGGAAACGGTATTTAGCATTTTAGATTATGTCTCTTATTTTAAGCTAAATAGAAGTTACGCCACTGCTGAGTTGCATAATTGATGAAATAGGAGACTAATACATTTTCCTTATATAAAAGTTGAAATGTTAATGGGGCGCCTGGGTGGCTCAGTCGGTTACATGTCCTACTCTTGCTTTCGGCTCAGGTTATGATATCATGGTTTGTGGGATCAACCCCATTTTGGGCTGATAGCGTGGAGCCTGCTTGGGATTCTCTCTCTTCCTCTCTCTCTGCCCCCTCCCACGTTCTCACACACAGACACCCACATACACACACACTCTCTCTCTCAAAAATAAATAAATAAACTTAAAAAAAGTCAAAATGTTAAGATAAGGTACCCTTAGGTTGCTATTGTGTACCATAGGGCAGGAAAATAAGGAGTACATGCCTCAAGAAGTCTATGCTATGTGCCCTTCTTCTGTGTTCCTACCACCTCTTTGCGCAGCTCTTTCCAAACATTGTTTCTACTATGTTGTAATTATGGTTTTCAAATCTGTCTCTGCTACTTGCCTGAACTTTCTGAGGGCGAGGCCGCATCTTGTCCATCATCGCAGAGTCCCCAGTGCCTGAATATACCGGGGCATGAGCCACATGGGGCCAATGAAAGGAAAGAGAGTCCAGGCTGATTCCCGACTCCAGCTACAGATGCAGAGCCAGCACTTTCCAGTGCTCAGTTCCTGAGTCTGGAGGAGGGCACTTGGAAGCCTTAAGACGAGGAAAGGGAAATGTGTCCTCTGCTCTAAAGCCATTCCAGCAAACATCAGCTTTGTTGGGAACCTGAGTCCCAAAAGGCTGGAATCTGGTCCAGTGCCAAACCCTTCTTTGCGAAAAGTCTAACTGTGATACAGATAGCAGCTCACACTTATTGAGCATTTTATTAGCATTAACTCACCGAAGACTTCTTACCAGGAGATCTGTTATTTAGGGTACAAGTAAAATTTCTAGTTTTCAGTGAAAGTCAAAGGAACACAGGCTTTACTTTTCAGAAATTGTTTGGCTAGAGTGGGTAGCTTTTTTTTTTTTTAGCTTTACTGAGGTATAACTGAAAAATAAAATTGTAAGATATTTAAAGTGTACATGGGGATGATCTGATATACACACACACACGGAGAGAATTCCTCCCACTTAGTTCATTAACACATCCATCACCTTGCATGTAAATTTCAATTATACAATACAGTTATCAACTAGAGTCACTCTGTTACACACCAGATCCTCAGACTTTAAATCATCTTATAACTGAAGTCTATGCTCTTTTACCAAACTTTCTGTTTTCCCCACCCCACTGCCCCTAGCCATTACCCTTCCACTGTCTGCTTCCAAGAGTTTGACTTAAAAATATTTTTTTTAGATTCCATGTATAAGTGACACCATGTAGTATCTGTCCTTCTCTGTCTGACTTATGCAATGTAGCATAATGCCCTCAAGGTTTTCCGTAGTGCCTCACGGCAGCATTTCCTTCATAGTCATGGCTGAATGATGGTCCTTTGTATATGTATATATGCCACATCTTCTTTAAGGGATGGATAGTGTTTAATGCCAGAACAGGTTAACTGTTTGGCCAGCACACTGACAAGGAGGCCTTTAGTAGCAAGGGGTAAAGTTCTCTGCAAGCCAGCTAAAAGGGATTCTGCTGACTTTTCACACAGTTCATCTGTCATGTCTTGCTGAAAGCAGCATAAATCAAAAAAGGAGAAAGCAGGTCTTCTAAAATGTTTTGATTTAGGGAGGCCTGGGTGGCTCAGTAGGTTAAGCGCCTGACTTAGGCTCAGGTCACAGTATCACGGTTCGTGAGTTCCAGCCTTGCGTGGGGCTCTGTGCTGACAGCTCAGAGCCTGGAGCCTCCTTCGGGTTCTGTGTCTCCCTGTCTCTGCCCCTCCTCACTCATGCTCTGTCTCTGTCTCTCAAAGAATAAATAAATATTAAAAATTTTTAATGTTTTGATTTAAAGTACTTTTTTACACATAAATACCAGTAAGAATTGAAAATTCAACAGTCTTTTGGGGTGCCTGGGTGGCTCAGTCAGTTAAGCATCCTAATGTGGGTCAGGTCATGATCTCGTGGTTCATGAGTTCGCACCCCACATTAGGCTCTGTGCTGACAGCTCAGAGCCTGGAGGCTATTTTATATTCTGTGTCTGCCTCTCTCTCTGCCCCTCCCTCTCTCCTGCTCTGTCTCTGTCTCTGTCTCTCAAAAATAAACATTAAAAAAATTTTAAAAATTCAACAGTCTTTTTATAAGAAGATATTTTATAGCACAGGTATATTTCCTGTTATGAGATTTTAAAAAGATTATTATCTTAACAGTTGCCCATGCACATCTCCCCAAAGATACAAAAGTATTGAGGCT